TGGATTGCATGTTTCTCACCGGACAACACAATGGAATGGTGCATCTACAAAAGACAGAAGTGTCAAATGTTAAGGTCAAAGTTTTAATTTCAATTACAACCAAACATTCATAGAGACTTATGTTTATAAGACGGAAAATCATTATCCCAAACCAATGTGTGTTGGGATCAGTTGAGTCCAAATGCAAGATACTAGAGTCCCTGATACAGTTTGTCAGGTTTCTTGTAGTACAACAGTAAAATGGCAGAGAATGTCCAAACAAAGACAGAATCCACAATGTGAAACATCAAAGCAAACCGAAGCCAGACGTATAGCGACCAACACTTCAAACAATAATGACATGACAGAGTTGAAATGAGGGTTTTATATACTGACGCACACTGCACACAGGCAGGCAGGGTGATTAACAACAGGTGGGGCACATTAGGGTAATCAGGGCGGACAGGAAGCTAAGCGAGACTCGGACACCAAGCACAATATCAAACTAAAATAGGAACAAACTTAGACACAGAACTGACCCAAGGTCGTGACCAAGTAAGCATCATAGTCAAGATCTTCAGACAAACATCTCAAATATTTACATCACTACAACATCTAACTTACTGTACCTACACTTATTTATTCTCATTAAAGCTCACATCACTCCAAACAATTATAATAATAATCCTTATTTGTAGAGCACTTTTCAAAAACAAGTTAAAGTGCTTTAACAAGTGTAAAGAATAATACAAAAAAAACAAGATAAGAGCATGAAAACATTGAAAAGACTAAAATACAGATTAATATAAAATTAGTAAAATACAGTAAAATAAAAAGGGATAAAATGAAGTCAAAAAGTCAAATAAGATCGGGAAAGGCTCTCCTATAAAAGTATGTTTTAAGAAGGGACTTAAAAGAGTTCACTGACTCAGCCGACCTGATTTCCTCGGGCAGGCTGTTCCAGAGCCTCGGGGCCCTGACCGCAAACGCTCTGTCCCCTTTAGTTTTCAGTCGAGACTCTGGAACAGACAACAGACCTCTGCCCGAGGATCTCAAGGTACGTGCTGGTGCGTATGGGACTAAAAGGTCAGAAATATAACAAGGCGAGAGGCCATGAAGAGCTTTAAAAGTGATCAATAGAATTTTAAAGTCAATTCTAAAACATACTGGGAGCCAGTGTAATGAAGCTAAAATAGGAGTAATGTGGTCATATTTCTTTGTTCTGGTTAAAAGCCTGGCAGCTGAGTTCTGGACAGTCTGGAGTCGATCAATAGATTTTTGGGTTAAACAGGTGAAAAGGCTGTTGCAATAATCCAGGCGTGATGAGATGAAGGCGTGTAAAATGGTCTCGGTGTCCTTAAAAGTTAACATAGATCGAATTTTAGCTATATTTCTAAGTTGAAAACATGATTGAACAAGGTTTGTGGTGTGCTGCTCGAAATTTAAATTACTATCAAACCAAACACCAAGGTTCTTTGCCACAGGCTTAATGTGATTTACTAGGGAACCAGCAGATGGCAGTATTTGATTTGCCATCTGCTGGGACCCGATGACCAGGATTTCTGTTTTGTCTGAGTTCAGCTGGAGGAAATTATTTGACATCCATTTTTTAACTTCACAAAGGCAGTTGTTAAGTGAACTCAGCATTCCAGGGTCTGTGGATCTGACGGGCAAGTATATTTGTGTGTCATCAGCATAAATATGAAAAGAAATGCCATGTTTATGGATAATATGTCCAAGGGGAAGCAGATACAAGGAAAACAAAATGGGTACTAAGACCGACCCCTGAGGCACACCATATTTAACTGGACAGAACGAGGAGACATAGTTGTTTACAGACACGCAAAACTTCCTATTTGACAGGTAGGATGAAAACCATTCTAGGGCAGTACCAGAGATCCCCACCCAGTGCCTCAGTCTGTCTAACATGATGTTGTGATCAATGGTGTCAAAAGCAGCGCTAAGGTCCAGGAGTACCAGGACTGAGCACATACCTTCATCAGCAGACATTCAAAGGTCATTGGTGACTTTAAGCAGGGCAGTCTCAGTGCTGTGGTACTTCCTAAAACCAGACTGAAACTTTTCAAATAATTTGTTATTTTCCAGCACAGTGAGCAGCTGTTTGGACACAATTCTTTCTAGAATCTTTGCAATAAAAGGCAGTTTTGAAATTGGTCTAAAATTATGTGGGAGGGAGGGATCTAAACCAGGTTTCTTTAAAAGTGGGTTCACGCAAGCCGTTTTAAAATAATCAGGGACACAACCAGTAGATAGGGAGCTGTTGAAAACAGAGATCAAATGGGGCCCAACAGAATCTATTACTTTCAGTAAAAACTTTGTAGGTATTACATCAAGTGGGCTGGAGGACACTCTCATTTGTGATACTGTTTTTAAAAGCTCAGACAAGTCGATGGGATAAAACTGGTTAAAACTCTCTTGTTGCTGGTGAGGGACCTCTGAGTAAGAGGCCGCGGGGGTAATAGAGGCTCTGATTGACACCACCTTATTGGTAAAATAAGATAAAAACAATTCACAGTCATCATTACTTCCAGCTGAGGCACAAGGAGGGGTTGGGTTTACCAGCTGATCCACAGTCTTAAACAGAAACCTGGGATTGTGTTTATGTGTAGTAATGAGTTCAGAAAAATAGTGTGTTCTCGCATCCTTAACCATGTTATTGTAGTTAATTAATAAATCCTTCAGACTGAGGTAATGGACTTGGAGACTGGATTTTTTCCATCTGCGCTTTTTGCTTTCCTGCATTCCCTTTTTAGGCTGCGAATGCTGTCATTTATCCAGGGTTGCTTACTAGCTTTAGACGTAGGCCTAACCTTTAGAGGAGCAGTAATATTTAGTGACGACAAGCAGATATGATTGAAGTGATCGACCAGATTGTTGGTGTTGGAATCAGACAGGTGTTGGCTTTGGCTCTGAAAGAATGCGCAAAACTTTGAAACACTTTGTTCATTAAAGATGCGACAACACACGGAGCTTGGTGAGGCGGCATGAGTAACAGGCGAATCGCAGCTAAAAACAATACATCTGTGGTCAGATATGGTCATGTCCACTAGTTCCACAGAGGAGATGCTGACACCCAGGGTAAAAACCAAGTCCAGTGTATGACCACGGTTATGTGTTTGCCCTTTGACATGTTGTTTGAAGTTAAAAGAAGTGGCCATATTTAAAAAGTCAGTTGCATTAACATTGTTGGGGTCATCAACATGAATATTAAAATCGCCACAAAGAACAATTCTGTCATAATTTAAAACCAGAGTAGATAAAAATTCAGGAAGTTCTGATAAAAATCCTCCAGGCGGTTTTGGGGGGCGATAAATTATAACAAATATGATGCAGCCCTCCAACTTTAAGAGTGAGAACTTCAAAGGAGTTAAATTCATCACAGCGTACTTGATGACATTTTAAATTTTTCCTATACACGCTCACTAGCCCACCACAAACACACATGTGCATGCATGCATGCAGTGCACATTCAGAGTCAAATTATTGGTATAGGCTACATAGCCTACCTTTACTTAGGCCAACAGAAAGTTTATTGAAGGCAAACGCACGGTTAGAAGTTTACTTTATCCAGAAACACGCAGCAGAAAACTAACGTTAGCTTTCCACGCGTGGAGCAGTAACATTAGTTTGCCGGATTTATATTTATACATTGATAGCAGAAGCAAATTTAATGATGAACAAATGCAATAATTGATCGTGCATTTAAACTTTTTGGAATGAAGCAAATCAGTCACCCACCTTTGCGAAGTGACATCAGGTTGCGCTCGCCACGCTGCAAACAGTCCTGTTCCATTTCCTGTCCCGACTGGCCTGACAGTGCAGGTGTGACCCCCCTGTGTCAACTGTAGCCTCAGCGGACAGGAGTGGCCCCCGGTGTGGTCTTCTGCTGCTTGCTGGAGCCCGTCTGCTTCAGGGTTGGACGTGTTGTGTGTTTTTCGTCCACACAGCTGCGGCTCACTGGATATTTTCAGAGCGTTTCTGTAAACCCTGCAGATGTCTGTGGTGAAGTCTGGCACCAACAACCATGCACCCTTCAAAGCCTCTTAATTCCCCTCTCTTCCCCATTCTGATGCTCCGTTTGAGCTTCAGCCAGTTGTCTTGATCACGTCTGCCATGTGATTGGCTGATTAGCCGTTGGTGTTAACAAGCAGTTGAACAGGTGTTCCTAACAAAGTGGCCGGTCAATGTAAATAGCAATTGGAAGTTGCTTGAGACAAAGCATCAGCTATTATTTACTCCTCCACTCCTCTAAACTCTCACACGGCGGTCGAGGTCGATGATGCCCTCTCGTGGCCAACTGATCCCATCCACAGGTGCGGTCACGACTGACGACCAGCTGTCCTTCTCAGACCATGTTGCTGCCCTCTCTCGGTCGTGTGGTTATCACGGAGTTCCTTCAGTGAGTGTGCAGCTGTAGGGATTCAGTGTGCCAGGAGGGCTGGGAAAGGTATAAAAAGGCGTAATGGGACACACTATAGCGACGTCACTGTAGGTTTTCACATTTCATGTCTCTTTATTTTCAAGCCACCATGAGACGAGCAGTTTAGTGTCGACAGGTGTGTGTGTGCTGCAAACTATTTACAGTCCATTATTAGCAGATTTGGCCAAAGTAGCTAACGGGCTTCCTAGAAATACTTCTATTAACTAGGTCTTTATATACCACTGAAAACATCAAAGGATCCTCCTGAATATTACACACTGCACCTTTACTGTGGGGCTTGGTATTAGTGTAGCGAAGCGGTCAGCGCCCTCTGGTGGACAAACCCAGTAACAGCGTTTCTACATGAGCTCAAACATTTCTTTCACAGCTCCTCTGTTAACGAGATGAAAAAAGATTAGTATTTTTATGTCTTAATGTTAAAAATCAGCTGAATGAATAAAGACTTTCCTGTAGAAATAAACCTGGAACACGTCGGGACTCTGAACCTTTAAAACTACTGAAGCAAAAAGAGTTTAGATCCAGATTTAACTATTGCACAGGAAGACAAGATCCCATCTCCTCAGGTGAATAAAAACAATCCTTTTAATAAATGACCATTTTTATTGGACAGACTGAGAGCAGAGAATGAACAGGAAACTCAAACCTGTGACCTTTTCATCACACGCTCAGCACTGATAACCTGTCGACATTCTCAGTTTGTTATTGTGACAATAAGGAACCTGTAAAGTTACAACATGCGTTTCTATCCGAACCAGTGGTTCCCCATGCAGTCCCTGTTCCAGGGGACACCACAGAGCCAGCACCACTCGGCTCGGCACAGAGGACACTGCATGTGCATACAGCCGCCTGAGGAAGAAGAGAAGAAGAAGAAGAGTCAGAGACGACAGGAAGTGGCACAGCGAGTCAGAGTCAAAGAGACGACCAATCAGAGCAGCTTTGGAATCATTAAGAATACTCAATACTGAGGGTTCAGTCCAGCTGAGACCAGTTCAGACCAGTCCAGACAAGCACAATCCACATGAGGTGGACCTGGTTTCATCAGTTTGTTTCTCACCGTTTCTCTCCACAGGAACTGAACACTGAGGGCAGCGTTTGGTCGACTCCTGCAGGAGGAGCAGGGAGGCCTGATCCCACCTCCCTCTGAGAGACGCCTCCTCCTCCACCACGAAACCCTGAGGGGGGGAGGAGAGATCCGGTCAGAAATGTTCTCCTGGTGAAACATTGGATCTGCATACGTCTCAGGATCAGAGTCAGATCCTGGTTCCTGATCCTGACTGAGAGTTAATGAGGTTTGAATTTTCTGCTGAGAACAAACAGAGATCAGTAATGTGATCTGAGGCAGAACCTCCAGGATCAGATCTGTTTCCAGCTGATATGAACCAGTTAAATTCAGTTTCCTGAACAGAACAGAAACCTGAGTAGAAACATTAGCTGCTGATTCGTTTGGGATTCATTTACTGAACGTTTGTTATTTTGTTGTTGAGGAAAACTGTTTCATTGGCCAGGAAGTCCTGCTGGACTGGATCATCACCTGGCAGGGGCCCCCTATCCATAATCCAGGTCCCTTCCTGCCCCCCATAAACAGGGATGTGGGCTCTGCTCTGTCGCTGATGACGTCAGTGTTGTTGTAACTGAACGAACAACAGATGAACAATTAACATGTGAATGGCGATTATATTTAATGAATAATGAATGTTCTCCTGGATGGGGGGGGGTTCTGGGGGTCATCCCTCTGAAGAATTTGAGCATTAAAGACGTTCTGGTGAGAATTCACGGTGGCGATGTTTTTATTTCTCTGAAGGGAAATCTACAGCAGTGAGGCTTCTGACTGCTCTCAGATCAGCTGGTTTAATATGTGCTGAGTCAGGATTCTCCCTCCTCTGCGTTTCCCCAAACAGAAAACTTCAGCTCCTCTGAAACACCAGTCTGCGCCTCGCCACAGCTGTACACTGAACCTCTCCAGGCCACGTTAGCGCTCGGGCTCAAACCGGATGAGAATCACTTCTGGAGATTACAGACGATCCTCCGACTTCCTGTTGCCCTGAAGGCAGCACGGAGCGGCGCCACGAGCCGAGAAGAAGAGTTAGGATTCCCAGGTTTCACTGTCGGGAGACAAACCAGGACAACCTCAACACCCCCCTGTCCAAAATCCTGCTTCCAGCGCCGCCATCGTCCCCTGAACGCCCCGCAGAGACACGCTGACCTGCAGCGTCTTTATGGAAGCTGCGCGTTTCACACAGCAGCAGCAACGCGCCACTTTCCTTCAGCTTCTTCTGATCGATTCATTGGGTTTGTAAAATAATTCTTCTGCTGCTGCGTGATGGTTAACAACAAAACTGGGAGCCCTGTGATTGGTCAGCTCACCTGGGAGGCTTCCCCTGTGGGCGGGGCCGGCTCAGAGTGACACGCCCCCTCGTGATAGCCCTCCCTGCAGTCTTTGCAGAAGACGAAGCCGCAGCCGAGCTGCCGGTCACACTCCACCCTCCTGCTGTCCTCCGGAGGGACAAGCCCCGCCCCGCAGCCAGGTGACGGACACATCAGTCCTCCAATCATCCGCAGGCACTCCTCCGCCCCGTACTGCTGGTACCGCCCATACTGAGGAGGGAGACAGGTTTCCATGGTTACAGCATCACGTGTTGTGCGTACGTAGTATATTTACACATTTGTACCTGATCGTCTCCCAGGATCCTGAAATGATGCACCTCTTTAACGAGAGAGTCCACGCAGCCGACTGGAGACACAAGAGATCACACAGAAACACATTCTGACCTTTACTGGTTCTACTGGTTCCTACTCTCAATCAATGTCTGGTCACGTGACTCTCAGCAGGTTTCTCATCACATCACTGTGATATTACATTATCAGGGTTACATCATACTGAGTCTCACCGGCACACGGCAGCGAGTAGCCAATCACAGGATGGAAAACAAACTGTCGCTCGTTCAGCCGAGTCTGACAGTAACGGCGGAAACAGTCGAGACAGATCACATGACGCTCCGAACACTGGAAGACCAGGACCAGGTCCCTGAGAGACCGACAGAGAGAGAAACTGAAATTTAACAATACATTTATTAGAAGGTTCAAAAAGGTTACAAAACTACAATCAGTAAAACAAGATTCACAGAATCCAGATTCTCTCAGCACACTTTCAAAAAGCACTTCATCATCTACAACCCAACAAAAAACATTCTTGTGACACCACATATTGGAAAAACTTTCCAGATCCTTGATCATTCGATAATAATTCAAATCTATTTTTAAACGTCTTTACAAACACGAGCATCATCATCCGCAGCTTTCTCTATTCGGTTTTTCCTGCTCATATAAACAGCCATCTTTGCTCTCCCCAAAACAAAATTGAGAGTACCTGTACCCCAAAATGAACATACGTTTAGAGAAAACCTCCCCAAACAGTCCAAAAATATATTCCAGCGGCTCGTTTGATCAGTGGTGGTTTGTACAGCGCTCTCCACTCAGGTCCAACACGCTCACTAAGACCTAAGTGAGCTCTCCATGGAGTGTCAGCTCCGCCTTCTCTCCATTTACTAAGCAACAGAGCGATAACACGAGTGGAAGGAGCTCCTGCAAGCTGAACTACATGTCCCAGAGTCACCACATTAGAGGGACAGAACCGCCTGAGAAGACAGACTGCACTGAACCGTGATCCATGACTGACTGGTATAGTGAGCTGTGGTGACCCAGCCTCTTCTTTACCAGCAAGCTCCACAACTTAAACAGTCCGTGATAGAAGACAGGAAGTTCTTTGATGTTAGGCTGCTTTAAGTCCATCAGAAACAAAGATTTGTTCAGTCCAAGTCCTCCTAACTGACCCAGGATAGTGCAAGCCTACGGCCTCCACACTAAATCAGTAGGACCGCACAGAAACCTCTGTAGGAACTGGAAACGGAAAGCAGCCCCCCTGCTGCTGAGGTGGATCAGGCCCTGTCCTCCATCGTCCTTTGGCAAATACAGCACTCTGAGGCCCCCAGTGCAGTTTGTCCCAGAAAAAGTCAACAAGAAGGGCCTGGATCTTGGTGGGGGGGTCAACACAAGACAGGTGATGCCATAAAGTGGACAAAACCTAATTATTAGTAATAAGAACTCTGCCTCTGTAGGACATCTTCATCAAAATCCACTTCCACCTTGTTTAACGACCTTTCACCTTTTCTAGAACATTCTCCCAGTTTTTCAGACCAAAGGACTGATCACCCAGAAAAACCCCTAAATATTTGAACCCTCCACTCTTCCAGATTAACCCCCCAGGCAAGCTTAGCTGTTTCTCCAGTACACCTCCAACGCACAGAGCTTCACTTCTGTCCCAGTTAACTTTGGCTGAGGATAAAGAGCCAAACTGAACTCCATCCCTCACCAACATGTCAGTGTCCTGCTGAGTATCCACTAGGATGACCAGGTCATCTGCAGAGGCTGACAGCTTTAAGGGTGCATTACAACCTGGAATGGTCAATCCCTGAAGATCACATCTAAGTGTATGCAACAAAGGCTCAAAAGCTAAAGAATATAACATGCCAGAGAGGGCACAACCCTCTAATTCCCCTTTGGACTTGAAAAGGAGCGCTTAAAGCTCCAAACATTTTCAGCACACTCTGAATGTCACGGTACAAAACCTTAACTTTATCAATAAAACCAGGACCAAAACCAAAAGCACTCAAAGGGAGCCATAAATATTCATGCTCAACACGATCAAAGACTTTTTCTTGATCAATAGATATGATTCCAGCTCTGAGGCCGAACAGTTTACAGATCTCTAAAGAGTCTCAAATCAAAACAATGTTATCAGAAATCAACCTGCAGGTCCACAATAAGTCTGATCACAGTGAATCACTTTCTACATCACTTTTCTCAACCTGGTTGCCAACACCTTAGAGAGGAGCTTATAATCTGAGCAGAGCAGTGACACAGGTCTCCAGTTTTTGATAAACTGCAGGTCACCTTTCTTAGGCAGCAAAGTAAGGACCGCCCTTCTGCAGCTCAGTGGCAGACGCCCTCCAGCAAGACTGTCACTCAGTACTGCCAGCAGATCCTCCCCCACCACTGACCAGAAAGACTTCTAGAAATCAACAGGCAGACCGTCTATTCCCGGAGCTTTCCCACTCTGCATGCTCTGCAGAGCTGCGTAGAGTTCATCAGAAGAAAGAGCTGCTTCCAGCTCTACGTTACTCTGCTGCTCGACCTGAGGAAGACCAGTGCAGAAGCTCTGGGACACTGCCTGCTCCTCTATGTGCTCACATTTAAATAGGTTGCTGTAAAAACTGACGGCATGTTTACGAATTGCTGTATGATCGGTCAGCACCTGCCCAGTGTCACCCTTTAAACTGTGAATGAACCTTTTCTGTCCATTCTTACGCTCCAGACCAAAGAAAAAGTGTGATGGAACATCCATGTGGGCTACATGTTGGAAACGGGACCTAACGAGGGCCCCCTGAGCTGAGACACCCAGCAGGTCGGCTAAAACGGACTCCTTAGCTTCAAGTCTCTGAGTGTGGCGTTGGTCTCCTGTGGCTTCAGCTAAGTCTCTGAGCTCCTCCACCTCAGACTCCAGAGCTTTAACTCAACTCACCAAGGCTCTTGTGACATTCTGAGTGTGCTGCTGACAGAATTGTCTTATCAGAACTTTTCCAAAATCCCACCATTGTTGTAAAGAAATAAAATCAGATTTTGTGCTTTGGTGGTTTTTCCAAAAAAGTAAGTATCTTTAAAATGTTTATCTTCCAATAAAGCTGTGTTAAAATGCCAATAAGCACTACTGGCTTTCACACACTTTATAAAGACAGAAACTGTTACAAGTGAGTGATCAGAAAAAACAACAGGGCTAATCCAACAACTTTTAGATACATTAAAATGATGTTTAAAGCAATAAAAATGATCGAGCCTGGCCCCTGACAATAAATTATCTTTAGCATGTGTCCAAGTGTCGCTGCTCGCCGTGAAAACCTCTCCACACATCACACAGCTGCTGAGCTTCCATAAGCTGGACCAAGCGAGTGCAAGAGGAAGCATGAGGCTGCATGGTTCCTGTCTAACCTGCTGTGTATTCCCCTCCTGTGAACTCTGAACTGTCCTCTTGTGTATTGACTTCCTGTGAACTGTCCTCTTGTGTATTGACTTCCTGTGAACTGTCCTCTTGTGTATTGACTTCCTGTGAACTGTCCTCTTGTGTATTTCCTTCCTGTGAACTGTCCTCTTGTGTATTTCCTTCCTGTGAACTGTCCTCTTGTGTATTGACTTCCTGTGAACTGTCCTCTTGTGTATTGACTTCCTGTGAACTGTCCTCTTGTGTATTGACTTCCTGTGAACTGTCCTCTTGTGTATTGACTTCCTGTGAACTGTCCTCTTGTGTATTGACTTCCTGTGAACTGTCCTCTTGTGTATTTCCTTCCTGTGAACTGTCCTCTTGTGTATTTCCTTCCTGTGAACTGTCCTCTTGTGTATTCCCCTCCTGTGAACTCTGAACTGTCCTCTTGTGTATTGACTTCCTGTGAACTGTCCTCTTGTGTATTGACTTCCTGTGAACTGTCCTCTTGTGTATTTCCTTCCTGTGAACTCTGAACTGTCCTCTTGTGTATTGACTTCCTGTGAACTGTCCTCTTGTGTATTCCCCTCCTGTGAACTCTGAACTGTCCTCTTGTGTATTGACTTCCTGTGAACTGTCCTCTTGTGTATTCCCCTCCTGTGAACTCTGAACTGTCCTCTTGTGTATTGACTTCCTGTGAACTGTCCTCTTGTGTATTGACTTCCTGTGAACTGTCCTCTTGTGTATTTCCTTCCTGTGAACTGTCCTCTTGTGTATTTCCTTCCTGTGAACTGTCCTCTTGTGTATTGACTTCCTGTGAACTGTCCTCTTGTGTATTGACTTCCTGTGAACTGTCCTCTTGTGTATTCCCCTCCTGTGAACTCTGTGAACTGTCCTCTTGTGTATTCCCCTCCTGTGAACTCTGTGAACTGTCCTCTTGTGTATTTGATGCGGTCTCACTGTTATTAGCCTCAGCATTTCATTTTTGTGGACAGGAGCGGACAGTACGGCCCTCCACTCCACAGACAAAACACTTCATTCTTTCTGAAGAGGCATAAACAATGTAATCAAAGTCATCCACTCTAAACTTCAATATTAAATTTAGCTCCTCAGTGTTATTTTTCAAAACTATAAAGACCTGCCTTCTAAAGGAAACAACGCATTTCAGGTGCCCAGAGGGATCAGTTTAATTGGTGCCTCGCCACTTCTCTTTGTAACATTTCGTTACTACTAAACGGAGGAACTTTGGACAAAATGATCTTTTCGGCCGGATTAACTAGCAGCACCACCTGAACAAAGGTGTCCTGAATCACCACACCTTGCTCGACAACCACGCTGACGTTATCAACACTATCCAGAAAGATTACGACTCCATTGTTCATTCTGGAAGCGGACTTCACACTTTCAGAGCCCACCATTTCTCCGATTGCTAAACTGCAATCCTCCACGGAGCAATTAAACGCTGGACAAAGTTTAACTCCATGTCGGTGTGTGAGCTTCCAGTACAGTTCTTAAAATCAGGACAAAGCCTGGTGGCAGGATACAGATCAGAAAAGTCCGTTAAAAGACAGCACTCACGCTCTGTCAGTTTCTGTTTCCAGTGTAACCGACTCATGACTCTTGTAGACCTTAATCAAAGCAGCCAGTCCAACAGGGTCGTCCAACTGAGGCCCAGCTAGCTCCACCACCTTCCCCAGAGTAGAAACCCCTGCAGTGTGAAGCCGTCTGGATAGCGTGGGTCCCCCCCAGCTAGGACAGTCCAACAGTCCTCCAAACAGCGAAGGCTCTGGTAGGAGCCAGTACAGAGAGTCAGCCTGCTGCTGCCTCAGCAAAGTCCACACTGAGAAAACACTCTTGTAAACAGCTGCTAGAGATGGTCTGTCAGAAACAGAGCTAGATCCATCTGCAGACCACCAAACCGCTGCAGCATGCAGCAGGATAAAGGTCTGCTGGCCCAGTGAGCAGTTTCTGAATGGACTGAGGACGGAAGGCAGCGCCTCTGCTGACCAGATGGACTAGACCCTGTCCACCCTCCTGCTTAGGAAGGAACAGGAGACTCTGAAGTACCCAATGCAACCTGTCCCAGAAGAAATCAACTGAAACCATTTGGATCTGTACCAGAAGAGAAGCTGCCATATGCAGCCAAGCAGATTCACAGAGTTCACCAACATAACAACGTCTTTTTGTGTGTTAACCAACACTATGACATCATCAGCGTACACCGACAGTTTAAAAAACAAACGCCACTCAGATCGTTTCTCAGTTTATGGAGCAGAGGCTCGATGACCAGAGAACAGAGGGCAGCCCGGTTTCACCCCCCTCTGACCAGTGAAAAGAGCTCACAGACCCCCATTCATTTTTAGAACACAGTATGTCTGATCAGCGTGGATAACAGCAGCCGTCACCTCTGGAAGCCTCGGGGCCAGGACCCGGGACAGTACGTTATAGTCTGTGCAGAGCAGGGAAACTGGTCTCCAGGTCTTCAGCTCCTGCAGGTCTCCCTTCTTGGGCAGCAAAGTGATGAGCGCCCTCCCGCGGCTCAGAGGCAGCCGACCTCTCCTCCAACAAGTCTTCACCCAACACCGACCAGCAGGGCCGACCGTCCGGGCCAGGAGCCCTGCCACCCTGAGAACCCATCAGCGTAAAGTTCATCAAGGCAAACACGAGCCTCCAACTTCACCCTGGCCTCAGCGTCCACCTGAGGAAGAGCAGTGAAGAAGCTGCGGCACACACCTGTCAGCTAATTTCCTAATCTCAGAGGAGTCTGAGAGCGCAGAGCCACTGTCAGGTCGCAGGGAGGGAACAAGTTTTCCTCTCCAGACCAAAAAAGAGTCCGTCTGCGGGACGTCCAGGAAGCGTGACCTGACCAGAGCTCCCTGTGCTGCGGCGCCCAGCAGCATGGCCAGAGCCGCCTTTTTAGATTTAAGGGTCTAAAAGAAGCTTCAAAATCAGGCCCCATGACACCCCGTCTCCAGCAGCATCAGCTGGCCTACCCCCCCCAGGGTAGGAACGAATCAAATGACTTTCCGCACCACAAACAAAACACTTCATGGTCTCCGACGAGGCAAAAACCACGTAACTGAACCCGTCTACTTTACAGTTAAAAGACAGACTGAGGTCGTCAGTGTTGTCTTTAAGAACAATGAACACCTGCCTCCGGTGACACACAACATGTTTGAGCAAAGGGGATCTGCAGCCCAAGCAAACTGTTTTGATCGGGGCGACGAGCTGCCCGTACCAAGTCAGCTCTTTAGCCAGCAAGGGGGGGACATTAGAAATAACTATCGGCCTAGCCAGCGGGAGAACGGGAGTCAACGGGTCACCTGTTTCGACCACATCACTAACTATGCTGTCCAAAAATATAACAGTGGCTCCTTTCATGCGGACTTCCCGCTACCGCAGCCCACCACCTCTCCAACCGAGCACTGTACTGCCGCCACGAGTCTGACAGCATGGCAGCGTGCTTCTCAAACTCCGCACCACCTTCACAACCAGGCCTGCAGCCAACGCTGCAAAGCCAAAAACCCTGAACAGGAAAGAAAGAAAAGAGAAATAAACATGTAGAGATGTTATTCACTCATTGCACCACATTCTGCATCTCAGAGAGAGACGCCGCCGGTAGCAAAACAAAAACATGTGTGTTCCTGTGTGTGTATGCGTTACATGATGTCGCTGCAGGCAATGCAGGGGACGTCTCTGCTGTTGGTCATGATGAGGTCGAGGGCCACAGAGAGGTCGTCCTCTGAGGTCGGGTGGGACGCACACTTCATGTAGAACTCCTGCAGACAGACAGACAGAGACAGAGAGAGAGACAAAGACAGAGACAGAGAGAGACAGAGACAGAGACAGACAGAGACAGAGAGAGACAGAGACAGAGACAGAGAGAGACAGAGAGAGAGACAGAGACAGAGAGAGACAGAGACAGAGACAGAGAGAGACAGAGACAGAGAGAGCGCTGCTTTGACTAGAGTGTTTCTGAGGCTGCAGCCACTGACCTGGACGAACTAACTGACACTGTGACATCTTACATCAGTTTTTGTGAGGACGTGTGTGCCGACTAAAACCTTCTGCACATACAACAACCAAAAACCCTGGTTCACAGCGAAACTCAGGCAGCTTCGTCAGACCAAAGAGGAGGCCTTCAGAAGTGGGGACAGAGTCTTGTACAACCAGGCCAGGAACACAATGACTAAAGAGGTCAAAGCTGCAAAGAGGAGCTACTCTGAAAATCTTGAAAAAAGCTTCACAGCCAACGATCCTGCGTCAGTGTGGAGAGGCCTGCAGACACTCTCAAACTACAGGAGACCATCTCCCAACACTGCTGGCACTCAACGACTGGCAGACGAGCTGAATGGTTTCTACTGTAGGTTTGAAAAGCCCAGAGTCACACCTCTCCCCCGCTCCGCTCCAGTCCCCAAAAAAACCCTCCATCTCTGGACTAAATGACTACAGGCCTGTCGTCCTGACATCTGTAGTCATGAAGTCCTTTGAAAGACTGGTGTTGGCCCACCTGAAGGACATTACAGGCCCCCTGCTGGACCCCCTGCAGTTTGCCTACAGGGCTAACAGGTCAGTGGATGATGCCGTCAACTTGGGTCTGCATCACATCCTGCAACACCTCGACTCTCCAGGGACGTATGCAAGGATCCTGTTCGTGGACTTCAGCTCGGCGTTCAACACCATCATCCCGGACATCCTCAGCACCAAACTCACCCAGCTCACTGTGCCAGCCTCCACCTGTCAGTGGATCACAGACTTCCTGACTGACAGGAGTCAGCAGGTGAGGCTGGGGAACATCACATCCAGCACCCGGACTATCAGCACTGGTTCCCCCCAGGGGTGTGTGCTCTCCCCACTGCTCTTCTCCCTCTACACCAACGACTGCACCTCAGGAGACCCATCTGTCAAACTCCTGAAGTTCACTGACGACACAACGGTCGTCGGCCTCATCCGGGACGGTGACCAATCGGCCTACAGACGGGAGGTTGATCAGCTGTCTCTCTGGTGCGGTCAGAACAACCTGGAGCTTAACACGCACAAAACTGTGGAGATGACCGTGGACTTCAGGAGGAGCCCCCCACTCTGTCCCCCATCACCATACTCAACAGCCCTGTGTCTGCTGTGGAATCCTTCAGGTTTCTGTTATCCACTATATCCCAGGAACTGAAGTGGGAGCCCAACACTGACACCATCATCAAGAAGGCCCAGCAGAGGATGTAGTTCCTGCGCCAGCTCAGGAAGCTCAACCTGCCCAAGGAGCTGCTGATCCAGTTCTACACAGCCATCATCTAGTCTGTCCTCTGCACCTCCATCACTGTCCGGTTTGGATCTGCCAACAAAAAGGACAGGAGCAGACTACACCGGACAGTCAGGACTGCAGAAAAGATCATCGGTGCCAACCTGCCCTCCATTCAGGACTTAAACATTTCCAGAGTCAGGAAACATCACTGCAGATCCATCTCACCCCGGACACAAGCTGTTCCAGCTCCCCCTCTGGTAGGCGCTACAGAGCACTGTACGCCAAAACCAACAGACTCAGGAACAGTTTCTTCCCACAAGCCATCACTCTGATGCACAGCTGATTTCTGACTCACAGCGTCAGGAACAATTCCTGTGCAATAACCCAGTAACTCTGCCTCTAATCAGCCACCTGTTTACTGGTTTCCACTTATTATTTATTCATTATTCTGTATTTCAGTGCTGTTCATACTCTCATATTGTATATACTGTTTACCAATAAACCTACCTCCTGCACATAATACTTAACATAATACATAATACTCCTGCACTATTGTCTCTGTCTGTTTTGTTCACAGTGTGTATATTTGTGTTCTCTGTACTATTATATTGTCTTATTGTAAATAAGCACATCGTGAGCAATGCCCAGAGTCAGATTCCTTGTGTGTGCACATACCTGGCAATAAAGCTGATTCTGAACTATATTTCCCAGAATGCCACTGGATGGACCGACATCAGTTAAATAGCTCATGCACACAAAAAGAAGACAGAAGCCCCGCCCCTTACCGCTTCATTGCCAGGACACCGTCTGATTGACACACGCCGTGGATCCGACCTCGGAGGAGAACATCATCCCAGCAGGAAGGACCCTGACCCAGAGAGAGAGAGAGGATCCACCTTCAGCACGGGGACAGGAAGTGTGGAGCACATGACCGCTCACAGTTTGTCTGTAGAGCGTTTACTGGATCAGTCTGAGACGCACCGTGAGTCCACGTGTTACTGCGGGGAACTGGCCTCGATCTGGGCGACTACAACACTAACAAATACTGCGTTACAAACAGTATTAGTTCTGCGCTACAAACAGTATTAGTTCTGCGCTACAAACAGTACTAGTACTGCGTTACGAACAGTACTAGTACTGCGTTACAAACAGTACTAGTACTGCGTTACGAACAGTATTACTACTGCGTTACGAACAGTATTAGTACTGCGTTCTAACCAATATTAGTACTGCGTTCTAACCAATATTAGTACTGCGTTCTAACCAGTATTAGTACTGCGTTCTAACCAGTATTAGTACTGCGTTCTAACCAGTATTAGTACTGCGTTCTAACCAGTATTAGTACTGCGTTCTAACCAGTATTAGTACTGCGTTCTAACCAGTATTAGTACTGCGTTCTAACCAGTATTAGTACTGCGTTCTAACCAGTATTAGTACTGCGTTATAACCAGTATTAGTACTGCGTTATAACCAGTATTAGTACTGCGTTATAACCAGTATTAGTACTGCGTTATAACCAGTATTAGTACTGCGTTATAACCAGTACTAGTACTGCGTTACAAACAGTACTAGTACTGCGTTACGAACAGTATTACTACTGCGTTACGAACAGTATTAGTACTGCGTTCTAACCAATATTAGTACTGCGTTCTAACCAGTATTAGTACTGCGTTCTAACCAGTATTAGTACTGCGTTCTAACCAGTATTAGTACTGCGTTATAACCAGTATTAGTACTGCGTTATAACCAGTATTAGTACTGCGTTATAACCAGTATTAGTACTGCGTTATAACCAGTATTAGTACTGCGTTATAACCAGTATTAGTACTGCGTTATAACCAGTATTAGTACTGCGTTATAACCAGTATTACTACTGCGTTACGAACAGTATTACTACTGCGTTACGAACAGTATTAGTACTGCGTTCTAACCAATATTAGTACTGCGTTCTAACCAATATTAGTACTGCGTTCTAACCAGTATTAGTACTGCGTTCTGAACAGTATTAGTACTGCGTTATAACCAGTATTAGTACTGCGTTATAACCAGTATTAGTACTGCGTTATAACCAGTATTAGTACTGCGTTATAACCAGTATTAGTACTGCGTTATAACCAGTATTAGTACTGCGTTCCAGCAGTATTAGTACTCACCCTGCTGAGCGTCAGCGTGGTCTGGCGGCAGCTTCGGCAGCGGACTCTGAGTTTTCCGGGCTGGACCGACCGGCAGCTCTTACAGTACACAAAGAAAGTACTGCGGGTACGCACACCTGTACACACAGGTACACACAGTCAGAGTACTTCTAGCTGACGTACTGTAAAGTACTGCAGGAGTACCCGCCAACAGTTCTCACCTGGAGCCTGCGCCTCCTCTCTGGCCTCCTCTGCTCCGCCATCTCTCCCCTCCAGATCACCGCCAGGCCAGAGGAGGTGGAGGGGAGGCGTGAGGAGCTGAGGTCCAGCCGCGTCAGAGCGTCCTGCTCCTCCTCCCTGCTACGAGCCAGGCGCTCCTGCAGGAGGAGCAGCCGCGAGGAGGAGGAACCTGATGGGGGGAGGACCACATGGACAGTACTCTGCTCTGGGAGGTCACAACCCTGAGAGAGGAGGGTTGGAGAGGAGGAGAGGAGGGGGGGAGCAGGGGGAGGAGGAGGAGAGGAGGGGAGGGGAGGGTAGGGGAGGAGGAGACTTTGACTTTACAGGGTGGTGATGGAGCAGTGGAATTATAGGCACACCAACAGCATCACCTGTTCTCCTCCTCCTGACCTCCTCCTGACCTCACCTGTTCTCCTCCTCCTGACATCACCTGTTCTCCTGACCTCACCTGTTCTCCTCCTCCTGACCTCACCTGTTCTCCTGACCTCACCTGTTCTCCTCCTCCTGACCTCACCTGTTCTCCTGACCTCACCTGTTCTCCTCCTCCTGACCTCACCTGTTCTCCTCCTCCTGACCTCACCTGTTCTCCTCCTCCTGACCTCCTCCTGACCTCACCTGTTCTCCTCCTCCTGACCTCACCTGTTCTCCTCCTCCTGACCTCACCTGTTCTCCTCCTCCTGACCTCCTCCTGACCTCACCTGTTCTCCTCCTCCTGACCTCACCTGTTCTCCTGACCTCACCTGTTCTCCTCCTCCTGACCTCACCTGTTCTCCTGACCTCACCTGTTCTCCTCCTCCTGACCTCCTCCTGACCTCACCTGTTCTCCTCCTCCTGACCTCACCTGTTCTCCTGACCTCACCTGTTCTCCTGACCTCACCTGTTCTCCTCCTCCTGACCTCACCTGTTCTCCTCCTCCTGACCTCCTCCTGACCTCACCTGTTCTCCTCCTCCTGACCTCACCTGTTCTCCTGACCTCACCTGTTCTCCTCCTCCTGACCTCACCTGTTCTCCTGACCTCACCTGTTCTCCTGACCTCACCTGTTCTCCTCCTCCTGACCTCACCTGTTCTCCTCCTCCTGACCTCCTCCTGACCTCCTCCTGACCTCACCTGTTCTCCTCCTCCTGACCTCACCTGTTCTCCTGACCTCACCTGTTCTCCTGACCTCAC